ATAACACCTTCCACCATCCGAACTATACAATCTCACTTCCCCTTGGCCTTTTTCGACTTGGGGAATTGACATAATTGGAAAAGTCTCTCCAACAGGAACAGGGGGGCAAGAGTACGTATTAGTAGCCACCGATTACTTCACTAAGTGGATTGAGGCTGCTTCTTACGTGAATATCACTTTTAAACATGTCGCAAAGTTTCTCGAACGAAACATATTTTGTAGATATGGAGTTCCACATGAACTAATTAGTGATCAGGGATCTCAATTCAAAGCTGGAGTCGAGACCCTCTTAACTCGTTATAAAGTAAAACATCATCACTCATCCCCATAGAGACCTCAAATGAATGGAGCTATAGAGTCGGCAAATAAAAATATAACAGTCATCCTTAAGAAAATGGCAGAAAATTATAAACACTGGCCAAATAAACTACACTTCGCATTATGGGGTTATAAAATGTCTATTCAAACATCAATAGGAGTAACTCCATACTCCTTAGTTTTCGGAATGGACGCAGATCAACTAGTCGAACTGGAAATACCATCCCTACTCATAGTACTTGAAAGTAAGCTACCGGAAGCTGAATGGGTAAGAGCGAGGTATGAAGAGCTTTTATTCCTCGATGAACGACGACTAAGAGCTTTGCATCATGTACAAGTCTACCAAAGGCGCATTGCGCGTCATTTCAATAAAAGAGTCAAATCAAGAAATATAAAAGAAGGTGACTTTGTACTAAAGGAGGTTAGGGGTCCACCAACCGATCCAAGAGGGAAATTCAAACCTAATTGGATAGGTCCCTGCCGCGTTATTGAAATCCTATCAGGAGAAGCCGTCAGATTAATAGATATTGGAGGAGATGAAATTCGCCAATTAATAAACATTGATCGCCTTAAGAAATATTACATATGAAATCCGGATAAAACTCGTTCACTCATACAACCAATTTTAATTAACATTCAATTGAAAGATTCTAAGTGCTTTGCATTTTACCAAATAACACGGTAAAATACATAACACTTGGGGGGGGGGGGTAATTTAGAAATAATAAACTGTTCTAAGTGTTCAAATTTTTTGAACATCACAAAAAAATCTTCACACTTGGGGGGGGGGGTAATAATACAGAATTTTAAAAATAATTTTTTCGAGACATTCGTAGCACAGGTGTTGCGCGCGGATGTCACGCGCAACCGGTTTCGTTTAGGGATTGGGGCCTTTGCAACCGGATACCCAAACATTGTTTTTCAATTTAGGGATTGGGGCCTTTGCAACCTGTTTTACTTTCCCTTTGACTATTGGAGCTTTCTTGTGAGTATTTGGTGAAGGTTCTTTGATTTTCACACCTTGTTGCGCGGGTTTGGAGAGAGCTTTCCTTTTTGTTTCCTTCGAATGAGCCTTAGGGGATGAGAAGTCTAATTTTCTTCTCACTCCTTTGTTTTGGTTACTAGGAGGAGTAGTAGTAGTTGAATGCATCAAAGGCTTAGGTGGATTGCGAGCGGTGGCGGCTTGAAGTTGAGAACGAGCCTTGTTTAATTCACCCTTATCCGCCGCATTCATCCAAGCCTTGTAAAAGGAAGATAATGTAATACTCGCGGTAGGATTTTGTATTACCCACCTAGGAAGACTTGACCAATATTCCATCCAACGAGCAATTCTTTCGTGTTTAAAGATCACATCTTTAGGGGCATCACAATCTTGCGCGGGAATAAATTGTCTCATCCCGTATTGTCTCATTACCCTACAAGGAAAAATATAAGTAGTACCAGATAGGCCTAAAAGCCTAATGTAAGGGCAATTGAGACTATTCCCAATCATACTATTTATGTTCCACCAAGGAATCACAAAAAGTATGATAGGAACCCCATGACAGAAAAACGACGTCAATTCCTCTTCGTTCTTATGCTTATAAAGGATTCGACGTCCAGGGAATGTCTTTACTCCATTAGCCTCAAGGTTTTGTGGATGATTAACAATTCGGAAGCGCTCCATGAGCCAAATCTGAAAAAAAAAGAAAGAAAAATAATCAGTTTGCGATATTATACACAAGCAGGTGGCGCGCGCAACCAAACCAGTTGCGCGCACCCTCCGCGCGCTGCGAAGAAGATTGTGCTAGTCATGGCAGCGCAACTTTATGACTTGCGCTGATAAACGCCGAAAATAAAACATACGTGTAATAGGAGTGGACTTCCCATGAAACCGTTTTCGTTAGGATCTCCTCTAAGGAGATTGAAGCACAGAATGGTTTCCACCAAAACCAACGGAGCGGGTGAATGACATCCCTCTATTTGCTCTACTATGGTCACCATGGAATAATCTCCGTATTCTTGCCTGTCCTAAGTAAACAATTAACAACAAGACAATAACATAAAGCACGAATTTTAAAGCTTTGTTTAGTCATGTTGTCACGAGGGGGGACAAAATGTTCAATAATTGAATCAAGTTCAGGGCTTCTTCAGTTCCAATGTTAGCCATATCGTTGTCGGACAAGCCAAAAAATCTTTGGAATATAGGTTTGGGATCCGACAAAGTAGGCGAATAAGTCACAGGGAGAGTATTTGTAGGGAAACCTAGCAAGGCCTCGAACTCACCGGTAAGTGGGACAATTTCGTCCCCTTTGAACAAGAAAAGATGGTGGTTAGAGTCCCATTGATTGACTGCGGCATGAAGAAAATTAAAGTTAACCACTAGTTGCATATAATTCAATAGACGGTCTATGTGGTAAATTTGGAATCTAGTTTGTCCTCAATTGAAATAGAAGTGACACATTGTTTCAAATGTTATTCAAAGGTCTTCACCATTGTTTAAAAAAAAAAGAGAATGAGAATTTAGAGAGATTAATTCTTTTTAGTTTCTTATATTACTAAGAGAATGAATGCGAGATGATCAAAAGCCTACATGAAACCACGTTTAAATAAACCCAATAGGGGAAAATTTTCGGCAAATTCGGCTTAAAGGAAAGTTCACCAACAGGTGGCGCGCGCAACTCATGAGTTGCGCGCGACATCCGAGCGCAACTTACGAAGTTGCGCGCGTCTCCCCTGACGTGGGATTTGAAATGGATTTATTTCCTTATTTTGGTTCATATAATGACGGAATTTTCACGAAGTCTTAAGACGAATCATACGCTTGTCTTCTAACACTTTATGTCCCTTTTCTTGCGTATTTTCTTTTTTTTTTTATTATTATTTTCTTATTTTCTTTTTATTTTCTTTTTTCTTATTATTTTCGTACTTTCTTTTTCTTTTTATTTTCTTTCTTATTATTTTCCTACTTCCTTATTTTCTCTTTTTTTATTTTTTTATTTTCGTATTTTCTCTTTTTTTCTTTTCGCCTTCTTTTTAGGGTTTGGTTATTTTTTCGAGGGAGGTAAGTCGGGAACCCTCTCCCTACTTCGAAAATTTTTCGCATTAATAATAATGTACACATAGAAACAAAAAAAAAATAATAATGACATATATACAAATGTGTCATATATACAAAAAATGCAAAAAATATATATATACATCGGTTTCCTAAAATATAACAAAATGTGTAAAAGAGGAATCAGGGTGCTCGACGACTACTAGACGGTTGTTGCACGTCCTGCAAAATCCAAAACGAAGATTAATACATAATAATGTAATAACTTCGTTGAAAAGAAAAGAAATAAAACTTACCGCGATCATCCGATGATCACGGCATGATAAAGTCACGAGGGATCTCCGATAAGCAACTCAGAAAGCACATAACGTCCTCACCATGCTGTTCACGATTTCCCACGGAACCTGTTCCAAGATTACAAGTACAGTTAGTAAACAAATGTATATGAAACAAAAATAAATAGAAATATTTAAGTACATATTTAAGGTAAAATTCAAAGCTAATTTCTAATTTAAGGTAATGCTTTCATGTTTGTGGTGGTTGGTCTTGGTGGTGATGGGTCTAAGCTTAGGTTAGGGTTAGGGTTAGTTAGTTGTGTGGTGGTGGGTCGCTTGCTGTTTGTGTTTGAGGTCGCTAGCACCAGGTAATCTCCTACATCGGGTTGGATGACCGGTTGGGGGTGATAAAAATTACTAGGGTGTAAAGTTGGGAGTGATAGGAATAAACTGAAGTTATGATTAATATTGACGGGTTAAGCAAAGTTGGGAATAATGGTGGCAATTTTTCCTTATCTTTATTTAATATCAAATCTGTAATATTTTTAACTTATAAAATCTAATCATATATCCTTAATTACAAATGTATATTTTGAATATCAAATCTAAAATATTTGAAACTTATAAAATTTGATCATGTTTTCTAAATTTTGATTCTATTAACCAGATGAGACTTCTTTTTCTTTCCCAACCCCTAATATTATCATGGATTTCCAAGCCTAAGGAAAAAAGTTAACCTATTTCAAGTCGATTCAGACCCATATTCAGGTCGACAAATGCTGTACCAAAACCTTCGATTTTGAGCCAAATTAAAATAAAGGACTTTCAAACCATTTTCAGAAATGCTAGCGCAACCTGCCGCCAATTAACAGGGTGGACCAATGTTTTGGCCTGGGGTTAGGGGTGTTCAAATCCGGGTACCCGGGTTTTCGGGTACCCGAAAATCCGGGTATTCGAGTTTTCAGGTATCCGAAAATCCGGGTACCCGAGTTTTCGGGTACCCGGATACCCGAGTTTTCGGGTACTTGTTAGCTTGTCCCATGTCCCGACCCGAATAGCCCGGGTTCCGGGTAACCGAATTATTCGGGTCAGGACATGGGTACCCGGATCTCTTTTTATTTATTTTTGTAAATTACTTTTTACTTCATATTATGTATTTAATTTGCTGCATTTTTTTTCGTAAAAATTCCATATTTCATTTTTTGTAAAACACTGCTTCATTTTTTTATTTTTGGTAAAAAACCTGCTGCATTTTTTTATTAAAAAAGAAACATGTTCTGCTTTATGCATGTTTTTCCAGAATTACTGCAGTAAAATGTAGCCCTTGACTGCCTTGAGTACCTGCTAGGCTGCTACATTTTAGATACCTGTTTTAACATATTAAAGTACTAATTAAAAGTTAAAGTTTAGGGGAAGTCATTAGTTACATAATTCCAAACATACAAATTACAAATACAAAGTACAATAATATAACAACGCCACAATGCAAATTAAATAAGCTTGGAGGTCGTGTTTCATTCACTTGTGAGATCCGAAACTTCAGTTGTCTCATCAATAATAATCGTTGGTTGGTCCAAAACCAAGTCTTTAATTCCTACAAAACCAAATAATGCAAAAAAATAATTACATATAAAAAATAATTACATAACAAACATACATCAATTCAAGACATATACAATTATACAGTGAGAAAAATCCGTCCATATATGTTAATATACATCAAAAACTCACAGATTAATGAGACTATACAACCAGTCCATACAAGGAACATAAGAGGAGCCATTACAGACAGTGAGACAAATCCTTATGCCATACATGTTAAATTGTTAATAGAGATTATACACTATACAGACAGTGGTGAACTGGTGACAAATCCTTATGCCGTACACAAATAGAGATAGTGAGACATACAAATTCAAGACCACGAATTTGAGCAAACGCAATAAACTATCAATAGAATGCTATAGTTATATTCATACATCTTACCAATAGAATGCTATGATTATGAGCATAATAAAGTAATACCGATATTACAGTATTGTAGATATAATGCACAAATGAGAATCTTACATCAATTGCAAATTACATTCCATGAACAAACGCAATACCATGAATTTGAGCACGAAATACACTACAAATTTAGTACAATTACCACGATAAATTGTTTCCACAATTAGCACAATTAGCACGAAATAGTGAAATCCATTATCAATTAGCACGAAATACACTATCAATTAGCACGAAATACACTAACAATTGGATTACCACAAATTACAATGAAATTAAACTTGCATGAGAAAAGAAATTACCTGAGACTGAAGGCTTAAACTCGCTTGAACTTAAACTCGTGAAGGGAAGATCTGTGAAGGAAGAAGAAGGCATGAAGAGCAGGAAGAGAGAGAGACACTAAGAGAGAGAGAGAGACACGAAGAGAGAGAGAGAGGAAGAGAGGGAGCGGCGGAGAGAGAGAGAGGAGATTGAGAACCCTAATTTCGTGAAAGGGGGCTGTTTGAGGAAGTGAGGAGTTTTGAGGGTGATTTTTTTTTTTTAATTTTTAATTCGGGTAATCGAGTACCCGATTCTGGAAAAATCCGGCCCATGTTCCGACCCGGATAGAAGACAGGTTTTTTTCGTAAAATTCCCATCGGGTATTTGCCGGGACAGCAGATCAGCGGGTCGGGACAATCGGGTCGGGTTTTTTTGAACACCCCTACCTGGGGTAACTTAGATCACCTTTTAATAGTTATATTGTATCATTTGTATCTCATCAAACATACATAAAAAAAAAAAAAAAAAAAAAAATCAAACATACATAGTTAGTTATCCTTCAAAATATACGTAAACTATTGGGTGTGTCCACCCGAACCTAACAGTTTGTGCGGGCAACCTATTTTCTCTTCAAACACAATTTAAACTTTACCATTCAAATCAATTATCAAAGAAAACTGAGATTTTAAGGCTCACAAAACAAAATAACATCATAATGCTTGAATGGGCAAATAAGTGAATTTATTCAGATTTAATTGGGTAGGCTGTGAAGGTTTGAATGGAAAATGTTGGGTAGGCTGCAATTCTGCGAAGGTTTAATATGTTTCCAACTAGTATGGAAGGTTTCAATGGGTAAGCTGCGAAGGTTTCCAACAACAACAACTATATGAAAGGTTTGAATATAATATGTTAGGTAGGCTACGAAGGTTTAATGTGTTGGGTGATATGATTTTGCCATTTTGCGATACGAAGTAGTAGTTGGCTAACATCTTATAAGCTAATAAAAGGAGTATATTTGCCAACAAAATATACATATAAGCCAATAAAAGGGATATATCAGCCAACAAAAGATACATATAAGCCAACAAGAGGGGTATATTAGCCAACAAAAGATACATATAAGCCAACTAGAGAATTATATTAGCCAACAATAGATACATATAGGCCAACAAGAGGAGTATGTCAGCCAAAGCCAACAAGAGGTAGGAGTACATCAGCCAACATAAGGAACATATCAGCCAACAAATGAAGTGCATAAGCGAACAAATGAAGCGTATTTTAGGGAATATTTCAAGCATCCCACACATGAGCCCCACTGTGATCATACACTTAAGCATGATGGCGTCTAAAGGGAAGGAAGCTTAATAACAAATCCTAGCATGTCACTAAACATAAAGATCAAAACTTTAACCCTAAGATGATAGAAGAAATAGGAAGCAACCTAAACATGATACTAAAAAGATACATGATATTAGAAAACAGTAAAAGCATCCTAACATGATACTAGAAATTACAATAACATGATTTCCATATCAAAAGAATAATTAAAGTAATTAAATTACTTACTTCGATGCCTCGTATCTCTTTCTAAAAACAAAATACACGTGTCGGTAACTTTAATGAAAATATTAAATCAAACAATTAAATTAATTGAAATAGAGATTTGGGATCAAACCCTCAGAAATTATCAACCTTTCACGTCTAGGGCGAAGGCAACTTCAGACTTGGCTAGATGTGTCTTGGACTTTTAAATGCGGAATTTTGTGAAAGGGGAAGGTTTAGAAAGAGGGAGAAGAATAAGCTATTGCTTTTAGAGAAGAGAGATGGTTATTGATGATTGTGAATGAATCAAACGGGGAAATACGACCCCTATTTATAAGAAAATAGTCCGAAACCGATAGAAAAAAATCAGAATTTGAATCGGAATAAAACTGACCCATGTCTCCGACGATAGAGCCCTGTGCGAAACGACAAGCATCACGCATGGCGACATGCTTTGTCGTTTGGCGACATGCTTTATCGTTTGGCGCTAATTAAAAGATAAAACACGCTTTGTACGGAATCCTCTTCTTAATAAAATTAAGCAATTGAACTCCATTTTAATTAATTTTAAATCAGGTTTTATCATAATAAAATAATTGTTTTATTTCGAACCAAATTCATCATTTTTCTAAAAAGAATAATCATCAATCCCAATGTTATTAGAACTCAAAATAACCATCTATATTATTCTAAAAAATTATAATCAATCCTAATAATTTTAGAAATAATAATTAATGGGGTCTCCACTAGATAATTGGGTCATAAAACCATTTCAGACCCAATTTAATATTTGGGCCATAACTTCCTCATTATTCATTGGAATTGTGCTTATAATATATCATTGGAAAGCTTTTTGCGAACCCAAACCAATTACACTATTATTGGACCCTTATCATGATAAATTGGACTGGCTATTTTCATGAATAGAGAAAATTTTCAAAAAGAAATATTTTATTAAAAAACAACCGCATTACAAGAAATTTCACACTTCTACTTCATTCGATAATCGAGCAACGTGAAAAGTATTCATCACTGGGTTTGGTTTTTGGGAAGACACATTTGGATGTCTACAAAAGCCCCCACTTTGACTGAGTTTGGATAAACACGTGTTTCGAAAACAAAATTCAAAGTAGCAATAGGGACGGAGAATGATTCAGAAAGTTCTGCAATCCTAAATTATTCTTATAACCCCGACACCTGCAAACTAGCGTTAGTTAAACAGATAGTACAAGAGAGTTAAGAGACGCATATCTTGCACCGTCGAGCACACGTCTCTGGAGTAATCGATTTTTGTTGTATTATGTTGTGACAACCTCCACAGTGCCTCGTGAACGCCATCGTCGAAGACCGCTGCTTGTAGTTATCCTTGATTGTTTGTGAAAATCCTCCACAGTACCTCGGGAACATCATCGAAGGTGACTGTTGTTTCGGGTAAAAATACCCCAAGTACGTGGACCAATCCCGTAGTGACACGTGGCCCAATTAGAGGGCAACACGAGTCACTATGGGAAGATGACGCGTGTCTAAGGCATAAAAAATCCCTTGAAATCAGCATTAAAAAGACCTTATTACATCATGGCCCAAATCCCGAGAGATCTCCATGAAAGCCGCAAAACAGCGCCCCCATGCTACACGTGGCATCACTTGATTACGCAGCCATTCACGTCACTGAATTTTAGGGTACTGTAGACACCCAAATGTGTCTCCCCAAAACCAAACCCAGTGATGAGTACCTTTCGCGTCGAATCATAATCGAATGAAGCGAAAGTAGGGAAAGTCTAATGTTGCGGATAGTTTAAATTTCTTTTCTTTTCTCTCTGTTTTTGAAAACTTATTTTAAGAAAACAGCCAATTCATTTTGTTTGATCCATGATATGGGTCCAATAGTAGTGTAGTTGGATGGGGCTTGACAAGAGCTTTCCAACGATATATTATAAGCCCAATTCCGATGAATATTGAGGAAGTTATGACCAATTTACTAAACTGGGCCCGGTTTGAGCCTTATATGCGGCCCAATGAGCTAGGGGAGGGCCTAATATGATTTATCATTCCTAATGCAATTAGGAATGGTTTTAGTTTTCTAGATTCTTCTAGAAGGTTCTTATCATTCCTAATTCAATTAGCATTGATAAATTGACTTTTGTTGACTTTTCAGAGTTTCAATTAAAATCAAATAGCATTTTTGAGGAAAATATACGATTTTATCCTCCTGTACGGCAAAACTTATCTGATTTGAGAAAGCGCGTCAAAAACAGGCCTGGCGCCTGACTCCAGGCATTGGCGCTTGGAGCTAGGCCTGGCGCCAGTTAGCCAGGGTTGGCGCCAGCTCTGTTTCAGTTGCGCCAATGCTCTGCTTTGTTAATTTTATCTTTTTGGCTGATTTTCTCTATAAACAACGTATTAAAAACTCCGTTTTCATTAACCGATTCTCATCAACATTCATCTATATTCACCTACAATCAGTTTTCATTCGCAATCATTAATTCTCTCATTCTCTTCTCATTCATCAATTCTTTCTCTTTATTTTTTCTAAACCTTGCTTTTACATACGAAATTCCGCATTCGCAAGATCTAGAAACACCTAGCCATATTTAAAGTTGCCTTCGCCCTAGATGTGAAAGGTTTAATTTCTGAGGGTTTGGTCCCAAATCTCTCTTTTAATTATTTAATTTAATTGTTCTGATTATTACTTTCCTTGAAGTTACTAACGTGTGTATTTTGTTATTAGAAAGAGGTACGAGGCATCAAAGTAAGTACTTTAAAGGTTTTAATTGATATTATGATGTAGAAATCATGTTTATATTGCTATTATGATATTCCTAGTATCATGTTTAGGGAAAAGGTTATATCAAATATGCTTATTATGATTCTTGCGATGCTTCCTATGTTCTTCCTGATATTTATTCATGTTAGTATCATGTTAGGGTTAAAGATTTGATTTTTAATGCTTAGTGACATGCTAGGGTTTGTTATTAATCTTGTTAATATCATGCCTAAGATTTTGCTATTTTTATTATGCTTTAACATGATTTATGATTATTTTTATAATTGTTTTGATTATGATTATAATTTTATTATCGTTATAATTATTATTATTATTATGATTAATATGGTTGTTATTATGATGATTATTGTTATGATTATTATTATTATCATGATTATTTATTATGTTGCTTGATTTTATTGGTATTGCTTGATCACGCCTTTTTATGCATATTTAAAGGGAATTTGTACTTGTAATCACGCTTAATAAGATAATTTATAATCTTGTTTAGGGTTAATTTGATTATAATTTCAAGTGATCTCCAATAATAGATTTATTTGTGCATTATATTCAACCAACATAGATAAACAGGTTTAGGGTAAACCTATTAATTGCATGTTAGTCGAAAAGCGCACATGAATAAGATCAGAATAAAGTAGAGGTCTATTATTAAGGCAGGTTCAATCTCTTTTAAGTTGGATTTGTACCTTCATCCCCGAACCCTTATTTGGTTCTAGACCTTATGGAGTTGATGATCTCTTGGGTCGTTAAGAGGTGTAACCTTCACCTCGTGAACGGTTTACAAGTTCCTTAAACTTGTTGGCGACTCTTTTGCTCTATCTTATTTCCCTTTGGACGCCACCGTACTTTAGTGTATGATCACAGTGGGGTTCAAGCTAGGGGTTAACGCTTGAAATTTATTCCCCACAGTTTTGGCGACTCCACTGGGGAGGATTTCTATTTTAATTCCTGAATTTGTTTCGGCAATGATCTAGAATGAGTGGATAAGACTCGAAACGTTCTAAGTATTTCATGTGCGTAATTTTGATTAACATTATTGTCATATGCATAAAAAAGATCTCATTGGAAAGATCATCCGTAATGAGTTAAAAACATAGGATTTTACACATAGGAAATTTGAGAAATATCTTTCACAACTAGGACCAAAATAACACCGCGCGAA